GGCCGAGTGGTAAGGGGAAAAAAAAAAAAAAAAATCCACTCCGATGCAAAGGTTCACAATCTTTTGGGTCCAGGACCACCGATGTAAATTGCCCTCGGGGGGCGTTTTTCAACGGGTAGTCATGTAAGAGCTTGTTTGTGAAATTCGGGTGTGGACAGCACTGTCATGACGAAGCAAATCCCCCGGACGTAATTTTTGGCACAGCCTTTGACAGGAAGAGAAAGATTAGGGCGAGTCTCACCTCGTCACATTGATTGATTGTGAGGGAGAAAAATCCGACATGTTGCAAGTCGGACAAGTTTTAAGACACTGTCCCGGGTGTGAGGAAAGGTGATGACGTAGTTCATGCGGTAAATGGCGGACGCCGGGTAAAAAAAAAAAGCCACTGATATCCCACTCGAGCTATGCAGTGAATGAGTAACATTCCCAATGCGTGTCATGATTTATTTTGCTCTCAAAAGCCCTTTCGTAAGGTTTTTGGTTTTTGTTGGAGGTGTCTCAAAAGAAAACAAAAAGGTTTGTTTTGGTTTTTCGGGGGCGAAAATCCGAATCCATTTGAATTTCGGCAGGTCGCATTGAAAGTAACCGTTTTGTCTCCCTTCCTCCCCAGACGGCGATGAATCTTTTCTACTTGGCTCTCATCGGACACGGGCTCTCCCTGACCTCCCTCTTTGTCTCTCTCGGGATCTTCTTCCACTTCAAGTGTGTCATCGTTTCTTCGGTTGGACTCACGCCGAATCTTGTGAAACGAATCCCCAAATTTTTTTTTTTTTTTTTGTGCGCTCCCCTTCGCAGGAGTCTCAGTTGCCAGAGGATCACGCTCCACAAAAACCTCTTCTTCTCCTTTGTCCTCAACTCCGTCATCACCATCATTTGGTTGACGGCTGTGGCGAACAACCAGGAACTGGTGCAGAGGAATCCGGTGAGTCAAACGCGACGCTCACGGTTATCTGCAAACGGGCGTTTGCGTCACTTTGGCTCCCCCTCAGCGCTGGCCACGAATAACCGAAAGGGCTGCCCCTCACAGCTGTGCTCTTGTGGGCGCCGTATTTCAAGATGGCGTATTACGCAATGTTTACGCGATGGAAAACAAATCCCGGGTGTCTTTTGCAAAATGACTTTTCCATTTTATGTAAAAAGAAAAAAAAAAAAAAAACAGGTCCTGAATTCCGGTCCAGCCTGCATCCTCATGTCGCACTCTGGCTGAAAGCACTCAGGGGGTGGGGGCGGTTCCATCTCATGTGAAAGTCAACTTTTGTTACCTTGACAACAGGGGAGAGAGAGGGGGGTGGGGGGCAGAGCAAGGGTGTTGTGACAAAGCTACTGGTTACAACGTTCCTCGAGGGACATGACGAATCCAGACGTTACAACGGTCGTCCGTCGTAACCGTTTCCAATACAATGATGTAGAATGCAGTCACGAATATTTAGAGGTGTCAAAACGTGAACGTGCGATACAGTGCGGAGCGGAGCCGCTCCTCATCCACGTCGCTAGCTGAGGTGGCTCGGGCATCTGCCTCCCCGGTGAGGTGTTTCGGGAATGTCCCACCCGGGACGCGGCGGAGAGACCGCGTCTCCCCGGCTGGCCCAGAAGTGACTGGCGATAAATCTTGTGGCTTTTTGCGGTGCCTTTTGGGGACCGTCTTTAGAGCAGGAAGCCACCGGATTTTCATTCACGGGGGGCGCACTTCGACAGCAAGCCACCCCAGTGGACAACGCAACTTTGCTCGCTTTTTGCCTTGGACAAGTTTGCGTGAAGACAGGCGGGCGGATTCCGGCAGTCGCTTGAGAAGGACTTGGCCCAGATTCCCTCCCAAGACACTGCCGAGAGAGCGTTATTTGTAATCCCACTTGCCGATCAATCCAAGCTGTACTCGCTGCGTTCTTCACGCCGGAGCCTTTTGCGCAAAGACTCCCAAAGAGAGCGACGTGGTTTGCGTCACGTTTGACGCGATTGCTTTTCTCCCGTCAGACGAGCTGCAAAGTGTCCCTGTTCATTCATCTCTACCTCTTCGGTTGCAATTACTTCTGGATGCTGTGCGAGGGCATTTATCTGCACACGCTCATCGTGGTGGCCGTGTTTGCCGAGAAGCAACACCTCATGTGGTACTATCTGCTGGGCTGGGGTACGTTACCACGCACGCTTTTTGCCTCGTCGCTTGCTGCTGCAACTGCTGCAACTCACCGCGCTGTCCACATTCTTGTTTTTTTTTTTTTCCAGGTTTCCCTCTTATTCCCACTTCCATCCACGCCATTGCCAGAAGTTACTACTACAACGACAAGTAAGGGAGGAAGCTTGGGTTTCGTGCGGCGTTTTCTTTCGTAGCCGCAGAATTTGTGTTTGGCATGAGATCGATGGCGCAAACGGCCGACGTGAGGTGAAATCTGCGACTGTTTAGTTGAATAAAATGAAAGGCAACAGGTCACAGTTATTGTAGTGGAAGAACATCTCCGCTATTCTGCCTGTCGCGATACGTCGCTGACATGGATAGATGACCAGAGAAAACACACGGCGCTGCTTTTTGGATTCATTCGCTCAAATTGGAGCGTTTACCCTGGCACAGCTGATGAGCTGAAACAGTCCACCAAAGTGCCGTGAGATAGCGGTGGATGTGTCAAAAATACATTTTCCCATTGGGTTTTTTTTTTTTTTTGTCTTAGGGATCCCAAATGGCCATTGAAAAACAAAACAAAACAAATAAAAAACAGACGGATAGCTGAAGTTTTTTTTTTTTTGTCCTGTTTTTAACCTTGGTGCTCTTGCCTATTTTTATCACAGCCATGAAAAATGCTCCTCCTTCAGTGTTTTTCCTTCTAACCATCTCACAAAATCGCATTTTGCCTCAACGCCGACGAGAGTCGAAAACGGTGACGACACGCTCGGCGGCTTCATCCGCCGCACGCCGCGCGAATTGTGAATGATGCTTCCCCTTTCCCTTGTTGTCTGTCTTGTGCACATTTAGCTGTTGGATCAGCTCCAAAACATCACTCCTCTATATCATCCACGGTCCCATCTGCGCCGCTCTCCTGGTAAGGACCTCGTCGATTAATCGTCTCGAATCACAAAACCGCAGAGAACAACATCCTCCCGTCGAGTGGAGTGATGCAGGTCGCATGGTAATCCAGTCCGCTCGTTTTTTTTTTTTTTACTGGCCCTGTTACACCCAAACGGACACCACTTTTATTGATTTGATGGGGCCGACCGGTCCGAATCGGACGGCGACTAACGCGTGTGGAGCGGGGTTTTGCTCCCTCAGGTCAACTTGTTCTTTCTGCTGAACATCGTGAGAGTGCTCATCACCAAGCTCAAGGTGACCCACCAAGCCGAGTCCAGCCTCTACATGAAGGCCGTGAGGGCCACCCTCATCCTGGTGCCGCTACTGGGCATCCAATACGTCCTGCTTCCCTACAAGCCGGACGGGCGGGTCTCCTCGGAAATCTACGACTACGTCATGCACATCCTGATGCACTACCAGGTGAGAGCGCTGAAGAGAGCCCGCAAGAGAAAGGCTTTGCGTCTTTCTTGGCTTCTTTAAACATCTTTTGCTTGAACGCCGTGGATTTTGACGCCCCTACCCCATTTTCAAAAAAAAAAAAATCTGACGCTGTGCACTGCGTTGCAGGGGCGTCAAACTCATTTCTTTTGAGGGCAGCATCGTCGTCTGATGGTATTTTGGCAAGAAATACAAATGTGATGCACACACTGTAATCAAGACAAGTCAAGTCAAGTACAACTTTATTGTCAAAATGAATTTGCTTTTGTGGGCCGCATTATATGACATTACGGGCCAGATGTGGCCCGCGGGCCTTGAGTTGAACACCAGCACCGTAGCGTCTCCTGTATTTTATGTTTCCTCGTCTTTGAAAGTCTAGCTGTGGATTGGACCAGCCAAAAAGACCCACAGGTTCTTATAAATATCCAACGTCCACACTTGCTGGACACTTCCCCCATTTTTCCCAAATTATCTTTTTTGGGATCCGCAAGTAGGACTTTATTTCCCATGATCACTTGGAACATGGCTAAAGGTGGAGCTGCGAGTCTTGAAAAAAACTGTGAGGGCCGGCGATCGATTGTATTTTCACTCATGGATGCAGCGGTTAGCATTACAATCGAGGAAGACGTGATCTACATCGAGACGAGTCAGAGAAGGAAAGAGTAAGTGGGGCTCAACACGTTTCCTTGACGCAACTTTTTTTTACGAGCCGGGGGATTTGGCCCCGCGATATGGCATCGGAGAGCATTTCAGAAAGAATATGACCAGGGAACCGAAAATAGGCGGGGGTCACGCGACATGACCTCGTTCACGAAGACTTCTTTCTTTCTTTATTTTTGCATTTGCATTTGGCAATTGACTTTGGGCTCAAAGTACATGTCAAGCATGTCCTTTGTTTCTGTCATGGGCAGCAGGAAGGAAGGTCGAAATTATGCGAGCCGAGAAGCGTTGAAGTCGCCGGGCTCCGGGCCGACTCGTTATCTGATCACCCCGAGCGTTTCCAGGACGGTCGGGGCGGTGCAGGAAGCGCCTCGTATGCAAGGAGCTTAATGGCCTAAACAAAGTCGCTGCCGGAGACCGTCCAAAGAATCTCGATTGTTATCGCGTCCGACGGTGTGTTTATCCGACCGGTCCTCTCATGGCCTTTTCGTTTGTTTGCGTTTCAGGGTCTGCTGGTCGCCACCATCTTCTGCTTTTTCAACGGAGAAGTAAGAGCTGACTCCTTTTCTTGTATCCTACTTAAAGAGAATAGCCCGCGAGACATGCACGAGACCGCCGGATGACCTCCGACACGGCGCCGATTGGGCGTTGTTTCCCAATCGGCGCTCTGCCAGAGGACGATGTCGTTTTGCTAACAGCTAAATAGAATGACGGAAGAGCCGCCAAAGTTCCGAATCTCTTATTAGAAGTCATCGACTTCAGGTTCAATCAGAATCATATCTCATGTATACCGAGCGACGAAGCGCAAACCGATTCCTTCCCGCGTTTGTCCGGCAAGGTCCAAGCGGTTCTACGGCGGCACTGGAACCAGTACAACCTGCAGTTCAGCAGCAGCGTGGGAAACCACTCGGACGCCCTGCGCTCGGCCTCCTACACGGCTTCGTCCATCACCGAGGTGCAAGGCTGCTACAGCATCGACGGCCACTCGGAACACATGAACGGCAAAGGAAGCCACGACGCCGACGCCTCCGTCCTCAGGTCAGAAAACACCTTTGCCTGACCGCCACGCGTCTTGCTGCTCCACCCCCCCCGGCGGCTCTGGCGCCGCCTCGCCTGCGGCCGCTGAGACGGGACCTTGTTCGGAGATGAAAGGGGTGGGGGGTAACCCCTGACATACTACTCACCACTCGCGGGCCCATTTACAGTCATGTCATTTCCACAAAGCCTTGGCTGACACTGCATCGATCGCCCGTGAATGCTTTTGACCTGGATAGTGCCAAACCTTTGCCTGCCTCAAGTGCGAAGGTCCTCGCTGTTTCATCGACTTCTTCCGACAAGTCACTCAACTTGTGTTGTTGCAAGAGTAAAAAAAACAAAACCAAAAAAAAAAAAAAAAACCCCAAATTACCTCCTGACATCAGTTTCACGAATCGACGTGAAATTGGCCGGGCGTGTCCATCATCACCGGACACGCGTAAAAGACTCAAGAGCCCATGCGGGAGATGGAACAGGAAGTCGGCCATTTTGCTGTGCATGAGAGACATTTCTCAGCTCGTCCTGTGGCAAACTCCTACGAGGGAATTTGCTCCAATGAGCCCGAATTCGACAGATGGGCTGCGCCGGGCTGGAGCGAGATTTGTTGCCTGCAGCAGACATATTCCACGGCGTGAGCTCAACTTGAGATTTACTGCCACAGAAAGTGGAGCATATCGCACACAACTCCAAAAAAAATTGAAATAAAAATCCCCTGACGAGATAGGACCAATTGTGTGGGCATTTCTATGAGAGAGGGGAAAGTGAAGCTTCAACTTTGCTTCATGAACAGGCTGTTGTATTTATTATTTTTTTTTGACTCCTCTTCATGGCACTGTTGGCTGACGTAAAGGGGTTGGAAGAAATGGAAAGTGAACAGATGCCATCTCTGGGTGTCAAAAATGACAACAACTGCTTCATGAAGCAAATTTCAAGCTTCATTTTCCCATGAGGAATTTCTCTCAGAACCCGATGCAGAGAAAAGGCTATCATTGACCCATTCACGAAACCCAAGAGAAAGTCGGCCCTTTTGGTGTGACGCTGCCATTTTGAGCCCAGGTTACGTTTCGTACGTTGCCGAGGGAAACGGTTCGCAGGTATCCGAGACCGAAGGGTGGCGCCAAATTGCTTTTGTGGTGTCATTTCAAGGATTCGCCATTTAGCTCTTCTTTTGTTTTCCCGCGCACAGCACAGAACCGATATTCCATGTCATAATATATTCGTATGATATCATATATAAATATATTCATGTTAATTTATCCCTGGTTATTCTTGTTGATACAAATAGCATTACTGTATTTATTTGCGCTGTCGATAAGCTTTCTCATTCGCGACGGTATACCGCCTACCTTTGTCAACATCGACGCTTACGAAGCGGACAGATTTTGTCACGAGTATTGGCTCGGAAGCCGAAGTACTCCATTTTTTTTTAAAAATGGTCATCTTGAAGGTCGGCTAGGGACCGATCGATGCTCATCGCCAAAGTTTCGCGCGCAAAGCAACGCTTGCCTCGTCATTTCGGTTTGACGACCGCAAAGGAACAAAAATGTGCCGCTGAATTCACGCGGTGGTGGACGCCGGCGGGAACTCGCCACGTTAGAATCAGCAAAAGTTTGTGATTCTTTGTCGAACGCCGCACTGCGGCGCCGTAGGATGAAATGGCGCGGCATTTGAAGAGGCGCTTGTAAATAGCTTGCCATACACGTGACTTTTTGGATCGCAGAATGTCCTTTTATATTTTGCTTTGTGCAAGAAAGAAGAAGAGCGAGTGTTCGTATCGTTTCTTCTATGGAAGCGCGGATACGTGTGTGTTTTAGTGTGTTTGTGGTTTACACTTGCGGTATTTCCAAGTGAAGCCTTGCAGGCAGCGGCGAGTGCGACGGGACGAGGGCACCCGCCGCGTGCTTTTGCTGCGGCCTTCACATCTTGAATGAAGGGCCCTCCCGCCGCTTCTCCGTGGGCCGCCATTTTGTCGGGCAGCATCCTCGAAGTCGTGGGTGTCAAAGTCGAGGCCCGAGGGTCAGATCGGAGCCCGCAGCGTCATTTTATGTGGCCCGCAAAAGCAAATCATGTCTGTCAACTTGCTTTGAATCTTGCTGAAAAAAATTCCGACCAAGATTTCAAACTGTCATGTCAATGAATGCCATTCCGGTTTTGCACTCACCAGATACACTCACTTGAAAAATAATCTGACCAGATCTGACCCCCCCGGACCTTGAAATTCACGCCTGTGACTTATCCCAACCTTTCACTGTGAGAGTAAAGCCCGAAACAAAGATTTTAATTTATTATTTGTATTATTTTAGACACATTTCTAAAACAAATCAGTCACGCTTCAAGTGTTCAATTTAAAAAAAAAAAAAAAACAAGTTTTGATCTCTGCCGCCCAAGGGATGACAATTCATTGGTCGCTCGATGTTTACAGGCTATCTAGTCAATGTTTTCATTTGGGGCTACGTATCGCGCTTGCATCTTTCTGCGCAGTTAAACTGGTTTTATATGATGCTATAAAGGGGTTGCGATATCGCAGCGACTCTTCTGATAGGATGACGAGAAAAAAAACTGCCACCTTTGGAATCATCCGGTCTGTCGTCCATTTTTATTTTATTTTTTTGGATACTGTACTGTATTGGACTTGAAGTGAGGAGGCCATTCTGCTGTTTGAATGTAACTGTCGGCGAATTCTGTGACGTGACAAAAAAAAAAAAAAAAACAAAAAAAAAAACAAATGTAGATTTGCATACACAGTCTGTTTTTTTTTTTTTATTCCGATTCCACTGAACTGTATAGCACATGACTTGTTTGTTGTTCTGAGCAGAATTAGCAATGAAGATTTTGTCTCGCTTCTTGAGTTTATTGTGAAGGAATATCACGCGGCACCACTTTCTTACACTGACCGAATAAAAGCTAAACTCCAAGAGATGTTTTTTGTTGCCATTCTTGTCCGTGTTGTTGGAGGGCATCAGTGGTTGCAAAACGGTTGGGAACTTTGTCTCTGTGCATTTCAGAGCCCGCTTTCCAACTCTCCGCTCTCAAGTGCAAGGCAACGAAACGTCGTCATAGTCGAAGCTGCTTTCGGGGGTTCAGCTGTTCACGCACCTCCAACAGAGCCTCCCGACACCGCTTAGTCCCCATGCGGAATTTCCTCTGACCCTTATCTCGCTGTTAAGCAACGCTGCTGGGAGGGAAGAGGCCCAAAGGAGTCATTGGGGGGGGGTTGAAGGGGTCAATGAAGATGTTTCCTGTTGTTCTTTGGGAATAGAAATGTCCGTGCGGCTTTCTCTCCCACGTCCGTGAAATAAGTCATGGAAAATGTTGCCTGAAACGTACATTCAGTGCGCTACAGTGAGAGTTTCGGGGGCTCCAATCGCATCAATCACTCGCGCTGCTCGCCGGCTTTTGTTCCGTACGCAAAAAAAGCAATCGCGAGTTTCAAATCCATTTCAAAGCCATTGCGGTCGAAATGAGAATCAAGCGAAATGTTTTTCAAAGAAAAACAACAAAAACAAAACAAGCCGTTGATCTGAAGCAACTTTCAGAACATAAATCGATTTTCTTCAGGGAAATTGATGCTGGAAGACGTCTTGGCCATCTCTGCAAAGCCGGCCACCAAAGTGTGGCGCGCAAAGCTTTTCGGTTGGGGCCTCCCAGGGTGCGGGGGGGGCAGGGGGCGGGGGACCTTCAAACCTTTGCGAGGTGTGACGAATCCTCTCTGGCCGCTCAGCACCAGGGAGGCCACTCAAGCCGGCGTCGCCTCAAAAGCTTCCCGTCGGGGAAGAGGCGGCCTGTTTACGGAGCCCGGCGTTCGGCGCGTCTGATCAGGAGACCAAAACAAAACGTCAAGGCGGTCCGCCGCTATCATTGGAGGAAACGTCTGGCCGGCTCGGCTCGGCTAATGACTAAGAGGCTCCGACGGCCGCTCGGACGTCTTCCTGCAATTGTCCTGGAGATTTTCAACGTTTGCCGGATCTTCTCCGCCCAAACGTAACTCAAAGCGCTCCGTCATCCGGAGCGCATTTGAAGAAAAACACACGAGCAAAGTCAACGGTCGCCCGGCTTCCAAACATTCCATTGGAAGAGAGCCCCCCCCCCCCCCAGCAAAAAAACTTCAAGGCCCCGGAGCCCAGGG